TCGTAAAAAGAAAATGGTTGCTTTTGAATGTGTGTGCTGGAGTTTACCAGCGAAAGAGCCTTCTGCGTTTGGTGTAACAGAGGCTCCGGTAGCAGGGACAGGTGGATGCACTCAGGAATCTTTATTGTCCCTCCGTCCAGGTCAGCAATAATGACATCCAACTGATCAGGAAACGCCACAAAAACAGACACATCACGCGGTTTTAACTTCAGCTGTGAGGTCTAAGTTCGCATCAAACTGAGAAGTGAAAACATCCTACATATAAATAGCTTGTGAAAACTGGCCAAGTTAAAGGGAAGACCAAGTCTTTAAGGTTATCGAAATACACACTAGCAGAAAACAGTATAAGGTAATGGTTAACAAGTGGTTGAAGCGATTGTTCATGAGCACTCACCAAGTCCTGGATTTCACTCTGAAACATGGAGTGCACGCCAATGATGAAGGGAGTGGGGGAGCTCAGCACCTCCAGCAGCCGGGAAGGCAGAATAGGGATGTAGGGGTAACTGAGGATGGAGGACATAACAAAGGACTATCTTTAAAATGTCCAAATTCACAAAGAGAACAAGTACGAAAGGGGAATTAAATTATTACTATAAAATGGAAAATCAAATGTGTAAACTAATATTAGGCGATAAGAGGGAATTCAAAGTTCACAGGACATTCACAAATTTTGCAATTAAACTAATTTACAAGTTTTGGAAATTTTACATTTTTATCATCATCATCTACCAGAAACTTGGCTTGTGTTACTTGAACCAAAGCCCTGAAAACATTTCTCTATCATCCGGAATGTTATGTCTACATAACACTCTTCTAATACTACCTTAAATACAAAAATAATCAGAACCAATAGTGTATTGACCATCTCTCTTATGAGTGAACGGATGTTTTGAAACCTGAAACTTCAGATAAGGTATTCAAGTCTGTGCAGATAACGGTGTACAGCTAAATGTACAATTACAGATGGTCAGAAATTGCTGTTGGCAGACCACCACAACACAGGGAGAAGGGATTTGTCTGTCAACCTTATATCTTTGAGCAGTTTTGGCAGCGAAACACTGGCTGACCCAATTGCACCATAATCAAGATGATGGATCATTTTTTATATTTTGCACCCTCCATATCCCCCCTGTGTTCTTTCTGATAAAATTATACATAAGATCGTCTGTCTGTGGCCCGACTTGACACTTACACAATATCCCCCAAGACATAGACACATGTTGTTAAATTTTGGCATGTGATAAAGCCAGGATGGATGGAGCCAGTAACAATCAGATTAGAGGACAACCAGATCTTAACACGAGAGGCAAATGATTGTGGAAAAAGACCTGTTGTGTCACTGCATGTTGATGTCGTCTGTCTCATTCTAAGTTCCCTCTGTCAGTGTTTAAACTGACCTGATTTTCAGTAGAAAAATGTCATAGTATCGGGAACTGTAACATCTAAAACCCTCTGTAAGGTTTCTTTCACAAGACTGAGATTGATTAATACACTGGTTGCAGGAAGAGAAAAACCAGACTAAATGGTGGTGATTACTGTACAACTTATATGATTTTTTACGAAAAGCAAATTATGGAAAATGGTGACTAAGTTTGATTTGACCAAAAATACAAGCTTAAATTTGTTCTCTTTAGTGAAGCGATTTCAAAAAATGATTTAAGGAACAGGAAGAGTTAATCATCATTGAGACCACATGACGTGGATATGACAGTTAGAACGTTGATGGAGAGTCAACTGTGACCTGTGTGGAACTAGGGGCTCAAACACATACTCACCTGTATTTAAGAGGAAACATGAGGGCTTCCAGGGCACGACATGCCTCTCCGAGCCTCTGGTAGCTGGTGGAATGGAATAAAACCTTGTGTTCTGTCAGAACCCCACAAAACAGGCTCAGAACATTTTGGATTCCTGAAAACACAACAGCAGAAAGCAAAACTGATGAGCTATTTGCTGGAATGTGACATCCAGGGTGTTCCAGGTCATTCATCATCCATTCATGGACATTTGTAAAGAATTTCCAACAGCAGACCACATTCTGAGAGAGATTATAAATATCCAGAACCGACGTCTGCCACTACTGCAATCACAGAAATTTTGTTTGTCGAACCAATAAAAACAGCAGAAGAAGTGATCTGCAGTACAGAGTGAGATTTCAAGAGCTATATAAAGAGTTCTTGTTATTGTAAGGAGCAGAAGAAGCTATTTGAAAACTGCCTTTATGACCGTTTACAGCAGCCTTCACCTTTTATTGTCAATTAGATGACTATGGTCTTTGGTGTGTAAATACTCTAACATATTTCTGTCATCAGTGCTAAGCGTGGGGGAGCAGCTAAGCGACTTACTTAACTGTTCCTAAATTACTTTTTCTCTTTGAAACACCGTAAGATTTCCTAGCTCATGTTTTGCTGTCGCTTAGGTGTTGCTATGCTAAACTAAAGATTCAACCAGGGGAAAAAAACAAAACAAAAGAGGTACATGCTTGATCTAAACAGCTAGAGGAAATAAGTTAGACACCTTGCTAATCATCTGCAAGGTGTTTAGGGCTATTTCAACCTTTGGGCTCACCAAAAAAAGAAATACATCTCCATGGCTAAAAGAAAGAGTTTTAAGTTGAAATTATGAACAGGAGCCTTTGGCAAATATCATTGGTGAAAAACAAAGGAAATGACACACTCTCAATACAGCATAAATAATATTTCAAATACCAACGTTACAATCAGGAAGAATTCTAAGTTTACAGTTCCTGTTATTGTTTCCTATCAAGCCACTGACAGAGCGATTCATCACACGTTGGAGTGATAAGGAAAGAGGAACACTGGCAGATATCCGCGCTGCTGGGGGCGCTGGGTCTGGATGTTTGGCTCCCTGAATGGAGCGCGGCGGTGATAAACAGGAAACGCGAGCCTCAATAACAATTTTTTTGTTTGTTTTTTAAACATTTTTTTAATTGAATAGGCTTGTCTGACCAGACAAGTGGACCCACAGGATGTCACTTTGGTGGCATCCTTTGACAAGAATGATTTCACTCCTGACCAATGTGCTGAGGCCCAGGTTTCAGGAGCACACCTCAGGTTCAGTCGATTACTTATCTTATGGAAACAGCACCACATTTCCTAGCTGTAAATAATTAGTGACGGCAACAGCTCCAAAGGCAGCAAACAACAAACAAACGGAGCTGCTGATGGCCGCGTCCTGGGGGATTGTTTTCCTGTTCAGAGTGACATGTTTTAACGTGCATTCCTCGCTGGTGACTCTGTGACCTGAGGACCTGAGGAGTGATGCAGTGACCCGCCTGCTATGCACGGCCACCCTTATATGGACATATGGGTGACCTAACTAGTGGCAATCAGACACTTGTTCCCTATGCGTACGTGTAACCCATCAGCTGACTTCTAAGTAGATCCTGTCTGTCATCAGCAAAGCAGACTGTGCTGGTGCGAACTGGACTCCTGTTCCTTGCTTATACAACGTTAACCCTTGGTGATATGTGTGAAAAACAGCATAATAAAAGTGAATGTGAAAATGTAAAAGAAAATTCAACGATTTTAGACATATAACTATTCTTCTAAAGTTTGAGCAGAAAACCAAACAGAGACCTTATTGTAATGAAATGGTTTGCACGGCTTAACCTGAAAACAGCTGGTAGTATGTAGGTGCTGCAGTAGCCTCAATATAATGTTTCTGCGGCCAATTGAAACAATTTATATGCTTACAAAAAAAAGAAACTATTAAAAAAAAAGAAAAAAATGGATATCCTAAATATCTCAGGCATTTCTCTGATCACAATGTACTCTAAATACATTGGAGCTTGCTGGAGGCTCTGAATACTGTGCTGATTAATGGAAGCAGCTTTACAAGGACTGCGAGGTCATGGATGGATATTACGTCCACGTTGCTTTGTGTATCCAGATTGTTTAGAAAATGCATAACCTGCATGTAACCCTGATCAGACCGATCGTGCAAGTACCCCCCCACATGAATGCGCTCTATTATGTCTAAACAAAAAGAGGATGGTGTTAATACAGTCAGGAAACAGAAACCACATCCATCTGAGGCACATTCTTCTGTTTAAATGAGGCTAAAGGTGGGCCAACTTTCCATTAGAAATGTAAGGTGAATTATATTTCAGTTTAATCTTAGCTCACAGATGAATTCTGAACTAAAAATAAAATGGTCCTGAAGGGTGACCTAAAATATGAAGCGACCTGCTCAGTTTATTATTCCTGCCAAACAACCAAACAATCAGGGGCTAAGGGGAGTGATAGATATTCTCTCCATACACGGCAAAACGGCCCCACAAACGAGTCGCTGTGAGTATTAAATACATGTAACTAAGCATGTATCACCTGTACAAATTCTGAACCATCGACCCAGAGCAACTTCACTGCCACGTCACCCAAAAACTGCTTCAAATCTTCATCATGTGCCCATTCCTGTCCATGCAAATGACGAAGACACTAATGGGCTGCAGCGGAAAACGCATAAGCCTGTCACAATAGCAGTGTGTAGAATTAATATAAGCTCTGAATGGCTCACCGCAAGTCTGCTGACTCTAAAGGTCAGTAAAGGCAGCACTGACTTTACTGCCATGTGATCAACAAAGTACAGTGTGAATACACAGAATAAGCTGCTTTATTAAATCAACTAAAACAGTCTCAACTCATATGCATTAAGAATCCGCAAATGTGTGATTGAGAGCACTTGGCGACCTGAAGCAAGAAGCTGCCTTAACTTTAGATCAATCAATGCAGCGGCAAGACTGATGCGTGTCAGTCGTTACTGGTCGGTGCGTGGCACCCACCTAGCTGCTGGAACAGCAGGGCAACGCTCTTGAAGGTGACGGGCAGGGTGTCATTTAGAGGTGTTTGGATTAGTTGTCGATCTCCTGCTCCCAGGCTAAACAGCTTCTGCGAAGAAAAGGTCAGACAGTGGTCATGGTAAACTTCCACCACCGTTGGATTTACAAGGTCAAGCAAAAAAACCCTCAGCCTTTTCCCCCCCCCCCCCGAGTTCCAGCCGAGTGCACTAAACACTGCTACACTACCCAGGAGGCAGCAACCAGCTCAACTCAATAAAACAGTCTAAATACCAATGGCATTTAATCATTTTCATAGTGCACCTCCACTGATTCCACTCTGGTGATTCAATCTTGACGGATACAATCAGACTTACCTGAGATCCCCCAGCAACGGGAACTTGGAATGTAAAGAGGTTGGCCACCAGACCCTCCAAAGGATAAGCCAGGCTATCGATGTACACTGTGTAGATCAGACCCAAGCATCCCTGCAAGGAGAGCATGCAAGACTCAACTAAGACAAGGCGAGTGGTTAGCTGCTCTGAGAATGCTGCAGGGATCAATTCCGTTTGTCTGGACAGTTACATTTAGATAAGGTTTGCAGCGTTTACAGCAGCAGATAAGGGAGTACCACGGCCAGCATGAGTGTGCCAAACGCCTGTGTGTACTGAAAAGATGAGCGGTTATTAGTCGGATGTGTCGACATGACTCATCTGATGTGAATTCTTACGCTTAAGCTTAGCAGACTTATGTTACAGGCGGTACAACGCAGATCCAATTAATCTGAGGATTGCAAGATAAAACCACGATTTGACCAAAAAATTCAGGGAATTTCTTCTGAACAGACAGAATAATATTTTTAATCAAGATTTAATCATGTGGCGTCTTATTACCCGGAATATTTCAGGATGATCCAGCCTGGAGACGAGAATGAGACTTTTTGGTGCAAACACTTGAGCTGGCTGGATCAGGCCATCCTCTTCTGTCTCCTCATCTTCATCCCCATCAGCCTCAATACTCTTTGATCCCTGAAACATTAAGAATTTCTTTATTCTTCTTTTTCTTTTAATCTCAGACAGAAGAGTTCAACACAGTGCCGAGGACTCTGACCCTTGCACTGAATTGTGGAGCATGCTGGTTTTACTGAGCAGGACTGAGCCCCTGGTTTAGCTTGTGAATACATTGTTCGTCTCAAACTCATCCACTGTCCAGGACTTATGTGGCATGTGTTCCAGATCACGTGCACGTCTGACTTTGTACAACCGAGCACCCTTTCGTTGGGGATCCTGTTTCTAGGCCGAAAGAGTAATTTGATGTATCGATTTGTGTGAAGATGCATGGATGAGCAGGTCTATTATCAAGTTTCAGTTGAAAAGTGTGTCCCAATACACACTCAAAATTAGAGGAAACTGAAAATCTTCTGCATTGTCATCACATACAAATAGCTCTGATAAAAATCCTCTAGCTGACAGTCTTTCAAAAGTCATTCAAATCTGAATGTAAAAACATAAACATAAAAAAGGATACCCCGTTGCCAATCCCACTTGGACCACTAAGTCAAATTCTTCAGCATGACGACGATTAAATCAAAACTCCATAAAAGATCATACAAAAGAATTCTAGTTGGCATTGTATCCACAAATGCAATACATAAACAATTTGCTATAGTTTATGTTAGTATAATTTATAGAACACGGACAATAAAAAACATGAAAAACACAACTGCAAAAACACTCGCAATGCTTTGCATCTGTTAGCAAGATCAATGATTTACAGTTTCAGTCTGGTTCCATTTGCGTCTTTTGTGGATCCTTTGGCAGCATTGAAACCCAGAAACACCAGCCTCTGCGCTCATTCCTAACTAAAGCTCTTAGCGCAATCTAGTATATTTCCCCAGGCAGAAAAAACATGCCAAGAGTGCTTAAGTATCTCAGGACCAAGGAGCAAGGGATCAAAATAACCCAATCAGATGCCGGTCACATTTCTTCGTTATTCTTAGAATTTGGTTCAATTATTAAAGAAAACACATTCCTGCGCCGCCTGTCTGGACGATCCCTGGGATCCTTCAGAGCAGATAAGGAAGCCCGTTCAGAAAGTAAAGTCTGTCAAAACACCCTCACGTTTCGAAAGGATCTTCAGTGCTATAAAGTGAGTATTGGAATGTGCGCTGGTCTGCTGGAACATGATGTCTGGACGAGGTCAAACAGAGCCTGATCTAATGATTAACATAAGCCCGAGTAAAGGTGAGGTGGAGCTGGGGATGGGGAGTCACTTAATTCCCAAAGTTTATGAGTTCAGTCTTCACGATACAACATCTAAAGTCCACGTGTCTGGGTCAAACATGTTCTTACTGTACACAAACGGGTCAGTTATCCACTACACTCAAGCGCCACCTGGACGTCTGGAAAAGGAGAATTCGAAGGTACATTTCAGCTTTAAAAAAGTTAATTTTAACAATTAGGCCAGCATAAGCTCTTCAGGAAATAGCATCTCAGACAGGAGTCCCTTTTCAGTGGAGTAATATTCAGGTTGGTCTGCTGGCTCTTTGGACATGGACCCAGCATCAACTAACATTTACTCCCCTCCCCCTCCCCATCATGTCCAGGATTACCGTTAAGCATTCCTTCTCAAAATCGTTTGAATACGAGTGCCTCTGACGCTTTTCATTAGAATAATCTGAGAGTTTCTGTAAACAGAACAGTGTTTGTGTGACCATTATGAGCACAACAAGCTGAAATAAAAATACAACGTGGAAGCAATGCTTTACTACAGAGCTGATCCTGAAAGCCCCTCAAAAGTGACAGAAGTACAAAAGAACGCTGACACGTTTCCCCCTGAGAGACCCCCACTCATGTGTAACCTGAAGATGCTTTTCACTGTGATGTGACCGACGACTGTTGTCCACATGTGTTGGGATGTGAAGTCACAGTGGGCATGGCGACAGCAGTCGTTTAAGGCCTCAAGCAGAGGCCAACACAGTGAAGCAATTACTTTGGTATGCTGTACGTCTTTGTTGGAGAGAAAGATTAAAGCAATCGCTCTTGAGCACAAAATCATTAGGACAAATGTGTTGTAGTCAATACTAAATGGAGGACTAGAGCATTTGTGCCTTGATTGATAATTCATAGTCGAACACAATGGTGGTGGTGGAGACCACAGGCAAATCTAGCTCTGTAGAAGCAACATGGAAGTCAATTCACAATTTATTGGACTGGAACCATTCAGATTCAGATTCAGATTTTTGTTTTGAAATTCCTGGAATTTCGAAAGGCATCAGGCCAGCATTCTTGAAAGCCGAAGACGCTTTAGAAAAGCTTAAAAAAATATACAATAAAACAATAATTGGAGTACTATTACGTAGCCTAACTGACCAAACTCAATCGCTCCTATGCAGTAACATCTGAATGTGTCCGAGCAGGCACTTCAGTCTTACCTGCAGATTGACTTCAGCCTCGTAGAAAGTGAGGCAGGAGCAGTAGTGTCGGTCTGAATCGATGTCAGTCAGAACAACAGTGAAGAAAGTGGGTGGCTTTCTTTCCCTGGACAGCCTCCACCCTCCTGGCTGGCAGAACTGAAAAGATATTAGAACAAAACCTGCATAACTGAGGACAACACATGTTCAGATACACACAGCATGCTTTAATCTGAGGAGAAGATGCACCTTTGCCTCCCCCCACATGCACAGGACCTCCAGTAACATCCACCGGCCATTCGGCATGATTAGAATGAAGCTTCTCAATGTTATTAACAGTCTCAATGCTTATGGAAATACATTCACTGACATAACTTGAATGGAAAAGGAGGAGTCTTAAAATAAGACAACACAAAAATACTCCTTTCTTCCATCATTTTTAATGGATATGTCATTGATAAAATAAACAAAAACCATCATAGGGGATTGACCTCTTCATTTGTCATTTTCATATGTTCTAATAGCTAAAGACTCAAAGTAAACATGGCTGGATTTTGGATACAAGCAGATAGTTAAGCATTCAAGCATTTCCGAAAATTTCCGGGAACAACATTTTGTTTATATTCCTTAAGACTTTGTTTACTGAGGGTTTAAGAATCACACAAATCAATCATTTTGCGTTGCATGACAATGCTGAGCCATTTGGGAAAAGAATCCCACTAAAAATGTGGGCACTGAAAATCAGAAACACTGTTGTCATAACAAAGAGCTTTTTAAAGCGATTAGGCTCTCCAAGCAACAGTCTGAGTAAATTTCAACCCTGACACAAACCATCTGCAGTTTGAGGGGGTAAAAAAAAAAACACAAAAAATACATTTTTCTAATATGGTACTTTTCAGTTTATTAATAAAACGAGTTCTTAGATGGAAAAAACAGGTTGCATTTGTTTCCTTGCACTAGCATGAATCCTGAACCTGAGAGATGAGGGGAGTCAGAGTTCGGGCAGGTATCTGCTCAGTAAGTCACGCGTGTCTGATCTCTGTTTTTGCTAGAGCTCCAACTGGCCCTGGAAATGACTCTGACAATGAAATGGACAGCTCCTCGGGGGCGTCACGGGGGAGGCAAAGGGGAGACCGGGTGAAGACAGGGTGAACGATGGTAAAACAGACTGATGAATGGGTAGACAGAGCAGCGAGGTGTCTCAACGGGGAGTGGGGAGGTGGGAGGGAGCCGCAGAGGAGAATGAGAGCAGGAAAAAGGAGATTCAGAGAGGATGTGAGGAAAGACGGGGGATGAGAGGCAGGGGGTTTGGGTTTTTTTTCCAGACTGGAGGTTGAAACCAGGATGCCACCGTCTCCCCGCAGATACAATGGCCCACAGGAAATCTGCTAAACCTGCATTGTAGCGAGTTGTGTGCGTGTGCATGTGCATGTGCATGTGCACCGAGGCCAGACAGGATCCAAGGACAAGTGGGGATAACAGTGAGCTTGTCCTAAACTATTACAACTATGTCATTCATTGTTGTCATAAAAAAGACCAACACATTTGCGACCACATAGCCAAGAAGATCACAGGAGATACAACATCCTGTGTGTGTATATATGCTATAGCTGTAAGTGTGTATCCATAAGAGTACATAGAAGTGAAAGAGGGATGATGACAATGATGTAGTATAGAAGAATAACAGAGAGAAAATGTGTATTTACTGATGCATACAATATTAGTTATGATAATGATATTAATAATTGGGCTGCAGAGACACTCCAAGGCCAGAAGAGGATAAAAATCCCTCCAATTCTGTCATGACAAAGACCTCCAACATCATTATGAAAACAACGAGTGGCTGTTCATCCAAAATGAATGATTTAATCAGTGACCTGAAAACCAACCCAAAGCAGAATTTTTGGCAGCTTTCTGATATGGAGCATCCAGATGTGTGCTAATACCAAGCCAAAAACATATCAAAAAAGATCAGCGACAACCAACTGCTCTCCATCAGTCTGGTACGAGTCTTTAAATGTTTTAATACGTACATTTACAAAAAAAACAGTAAAAACAGTTAATCACTTTAGGAGTGAAAATCCTGATCTGTTCTCAGTGAGTAGCTCAAGTTTTTCCCTCTAGCTCTGCAGGCCTCGGGGAGCTAGCTCACAATTTTAAAGCTTAGATTTGAAACTTTTTGAAGAAACAATGAGACACGTGACTTCAAAAGAGACCAACATGGAGATGTCTTCTAATAACGCACAGCACCGCAGTTGGTGCTAAACAAACATCTCACACAAAGCACGGTGGTGGCGGGGTGATGATTTGGGATTATTTGCTGCCGCAGGACTATGCTGACCGTCCAAACATTTAGTCAGCCACGAGCTGCTCCGCATACCAAAGTGTTTTACAGTCAAGTGTAAGGCCATCTGTCTGACACCTCCAGCTTGACACACTGGGAGCACACCGGTCAAAGATTTGTGTGGTACTGATGGTGCCGTGTCCTGACAAATAAAACCTTTAAAATGTGAGAGACGGTTGACTGCTCACGTATGGTGTCATTTCTTTTCTCTTGAGAAACGCAATCCCCTCTGTGAAGAGTTTGACTCACAGAGGCTGCGCCCTCTACAATCGCCCACTGCCTGACATCCACATCCACTGTTAAAACGATGTAAAGGTTAGCACGTAGGAAACCTAGCCTTTAAATGATACACTCAACACACACACACACACACCCACACATACACAGCAAAGAGAAAGGACATCTCCTGTTCCCAAATTAGACCCGAGTCAAATGACAAAGGAACTCTGGGACAGGCTTTATTTACGTCACGGCAGCCTAAACCGCCGGCCTCCAGCTACACCCTGCATCATGTGCTGCCCTGCATGTCTGACTGCCCACCGGCCCAGCCTGTGACACCGGATATGCAGCCCGACCCACTAAGCACAAGGAGGAGAAGGACCCATCGACAGGGAAAAGAGGCAGTAAGAGGGCTTTGTCTCGACAGGTCTGGCTGACATTCTTGTAGTGTGACTAGACGTTAATGCCTGCTCAGGCCAGTGCGAGCTGGCTTTAACCGGGGCAGCCGCCATTAACAGCCATGACTAAGGACAAAGGCACAAAGTAAACTGTTGAGTCTCTCGCGTACCGAGGGGTCAGCTTGGTCTTTTTGGCGCTGTGCACGACTGGGAAAAGCCTCACGGTGTTTTTGACATGGCCGCAACACGTGAGAGTGGTGTACTTTGGAAAATGCAAACAGACTTTGAAGGATCATAAAACTTCTAAAGAGTTCCCGTTACTACAAATAAGATTACTGCAACAAATCCTTTTAAAGGGAGTCTTACTTCATAGCTCAGCCGAGTTGGTAAATCCAACTGAAATCAGGCCATGTTCCCGACCAGCAAGACTGCATGTAAACATTTAGATTAAACGGAAAATTTACATTTGAACAAAAACACGTCAGAAAGTGCCTATTTAGAATGCTAATAATGATTTTCCAAAAAAGCCATCTAAAACCTTTGAGCAGGTGTTTCTGAGAGGCCCGAGGAGCCTGCACACGGGGCCTCGGCGGTGAGGGGCTGCCGTGGCACCGCGCTCCGGAAAACCTGGGAACAGATGTGCGCCACAGCGTGTTCTTTAATCATCATCCTTCCCCTGCCTCGTTCTTTTCCCATTCATGCGGAAGAGCTGCATAGCAGGAAGACGACACAATGACGGAAAGTGAAGTGCAAGGTGTCGAGGGGGGGGTGAGAAGGTCAGCGGTGTGCTGCCTCCATAACAATCCAGCCTTTATCAGCTCTGCAGGATGAGCGGCCGGACAAAGCGAGCAGGCCGAGCGCTTGGCCATGCAGACACCGGAGAGCTGGCTCCCTCCGCTGAAGGTCATTATGATGATTATATGAGAGCAAAGTGTCAACAACATGACTCTAAATGCACTTCTATCCAAACATTATTCGGTGGCTGCAGTGACTGAATTTACAGCACTGTGGCTTAGATCAAGCACATTCAGATCTGAGTCGCCCCCCTCCACTGTCACCAGCAATTTTGGTTTCCTTTGTAGATCTGTTACGCAATAACAGGCACATATGGTTCATTTTAGGGATATTTTTAGACGAACGTGATAAAGAACAATCATGGTTTTAAAAAAAAAGAAAAAAACCTCGTCATGCAGCGAATGGTTACCTAGAAAATTACAAACAGTGCCGTACACAAAATATCAATTCTAGCATGGGTTAACTTTGAAAAAAGAACTTTTTAAAAATGTGTTTAGGACCCTTGAAGTGTGATTTCCCCTTTGTTCACTTCGGGGCACACAAACAGAACATAAGTGAAAAACACTGGATCAGTTGAGTGCATAAAACTTGAAGCCGAAGGGAAATAAAGGGGACCTGTCGAGGGAACAGACATTCCAATGCAAAAATCTTCAATCTTCAAAATTTCACTCCAGCCCGTCGCAAAACCTTAAAGCTCAGACCTCAGGGTGGAAGTTAAGCGTTCGCATGGGGCTTCCAAACCATAAACAGACTTCATCACAAGTCTGTTTAAAAGTGGGTTAGTCAAACATTGCTCTTTTCAAATCTGAGTCTAAGTTTTAGGAAAAATATATTCAAGAGAGGAAAAATTCCCCCAAAGAAGCCAAGTAAAAAGAAGAGCCCATGGATTTTCCCGAATTGTTTAATAGAAGATTTGATTACCGAATATCAAAAACCAGTTCAAATGCGGGCGACAGAAGAGTAAGGCTAAATAATGTGATATGTGCTATCCGCGCTCATACGACTCATATGGGAGCAATTTTTTATCAAAAGAAAACAAGCTAACTTAAAAATAGATGAGTATTCATCAGATCTGAATTATTGATTCGACATGTTGTGTTCCATTTCAGCAGGAGGTTGGGAAACTTCCGATGCCACACGGAAATGAAATCCAGCAGCTGGCAATATTTATTGTGTGATTTTCCCCCGACTGTCTGGAGAGGCGGCTGGCGAGATTCCGAAAACTACGACAGGCGTGGTAAAAAAAAACAACAAAAAAACAAAAACCCAAGCGCGACTGTTTCATCAGACCTTCAAATGTCCGCGAGTGCCACTCGTCCCAGAAAGCCTTCTGACCCACGGATTGGCCCCCACTGATGGGCTCAACCGAGAGCCCCTCCGCCTCCCCAGGATCTGCCGCAGGG